TGGTCGAGAGTCTGATTGAACCATAGCTCCTCAGTGGTCAGATACCCGCCGGAGCCGGAGAAGCGGTGAAGCAGCGAACGAGGCGGCGTAATTCCAAAAGAGACCGTCGGGAATGACATGAAGAGCAACAAAGATGACGCGACGATGAGGGCCCATTCGTGTCTCATCGTCGTCCCCATTCAAACACGCTTGTGCAGTACGCGCGCTGATGCTTCCCGTGTTTCGCGCTAGAACTAGAGTCTGGAACGCGCGAATTTGCCGGTTAGAACCTATTTATAATGTCCGCAGTCAGATCCCTCTCTACCAGGCAGACAGAGATCGCTCCCAGACACGTGATCATCCGTTTGATCTATGGAGCGGATTTAGATTGTTATTTCATTGCCACGTGATCCCGGGCTCATAATTTTGCATAAAATAATAGACAGATACATCTATTTTATTTTAATAACAAATACCTTATCGATTTATTAAAAGAAATTAGTAGCCAGTAAAGAGTTAAAAATCATATTAATATAAAAAGTTAATACAATTTTTAGTCTTTTAAATTTATCCTAATTTTGATTTTTATTCTCTCAAATTTTAAATTATAGGTTTTTCCATTTAAAATATAAGTTCCTATAATATAATAAGAACTTGGACCATTTTATCTTTTGAGGTATCAAAATTTATAATTTGAAACTTAAAGAATCAAAATCTGATTGATTAAAGATTATATTAATCTTAATATTTTTTTCACCATTTATATTAATCCTAATACAAGCCATATTTAGCAATTTAATCCCAGGGACAAAGCCAAAGCAAGCCGAAACAGGGGATGAACTTTGAAATTCAATTACATTAGTAATTATCTATACAAGTCACCATGGTCCCTGACTCCACAGCGTGTGCCGGGTGGCTAGGGCTTTTGTTCCGTAACACAACACGTCATATTTTCCGTCTGACATGTCTATATAAAGCAGCTGCGTCTTAAAATAAATAAATAAGAAGCCGCCATGACAGAAGGACCTGGAGGTATCTCACCACTTTTTCTATAACAAAATAATATCAAATTTTTTATATTTATTATTTTAAATTCTTCAATCACACCTAATCATATATTTTTTTATTTTGTGTAAATTTATAACTAAAATTTATTTAATATTAATATTAATATTTTAAAAATAAGATATATAATCATATATAATCAAAAAAATTGACATAATCGATGTGAGAAAGTATTATTAAAAAAACCTAAAAGGCAATTAAAAACTCTGAATAAACAGGGGTTCATACCACGGTTGTTCCCACGTAACTTTACATAGTTTAAGGGGATATTTGGATAAAATCAAATTATGCTTTGGAAAATAGCTTCTGGAAAATAGATTTTGTGAAAAAGTGATTCTGAGAAGTGAGAGTGTTTGGATAGTTATTATTAGAAGCACTTTTTACATGTACAAATTACTAAAAAGAGTATAAGTTAATATGATAATTATATAAGGGATAGATTTTATAATATATTTTGATTTGAAGAAATAAAGTTGTTAATAAAATATTTTTTTACTAACATAATTAATAATATATAAGAAGATTTTGACTAATTATTAATTCGCTTTGTAATTATAGTAGTCTTCCCAATGTCAAAACACCAAAAGTCCAGGAATAGTTCACCGTAAAACAGATCGCATGTTTTTCAATATTGAGCCCCCACGCCTGAACCTGATGAGGCGTTCGTGATGCCCCCAAATTGCATTACCCTGCATTGACAAAAACGTTGGCATAAATTTTTATGACCAAAAATGCCGCCTGCTTCCCTCACCATCCTTCTCGCTCTCGCCCTCCTCCTCCCCACCGCCAAAGCCACCTCCATTGCCGTTGAAAGGCACGTCCCTCCCCTCGCTTACAACGACGGCGATATCCTCACCAGCAACATCGACATCGCCATTTTGTGGTATGGCAACGTCACTAAGGTGCAGAAGAACAAGATCCTGGCCTTCCTCAAGTCCATCAACGCAAAAAGCGCGCCCCAGCCCAACGTCAACTCCTGGTGGAGGGTTGTGGAGAGCGACCAAACCTTTGCCAGAAAAATACCGAGTCCCATGCCAGTGAAAGTCGTGGCCCAGAAGGAAGACCCCGGCTACTCGCAGGGCAAAGTCTTAATCATGGCACTGATCCCCGACCTCACCGGCGGCAACAACAACCTTCTCGCCTTCATCGTTGCTTCCGACAGCGTTACTTGAAGAGCGAAGGACCGAAGGCGGAATGAATAATTGAGGGCTGATTTGTCATATACCCTTGGGCCTCATACCAACAACTATAAAATTTGAGCCAAAAGAGCCAAAAGCCAAACCAGAATGCTTTTCCTGAAACCAAAACCATGGTTTGAGATTTTTTCAACCTGTTTGGCTCTCTCTTTCCCCAAACTATGGTTTGGAGAGACACCCAAACAGGCCCTAAGTGAAAAAAAAATTCCAATATGTGTGTTAAAATATTCAGGTTTGCATGATCCTTAAAATTTAGTCACGCCCGAGTGAGGCATTTTGATGTAAAAAATGTTTTGTCATCAAACTTTACTACTTTTTTTAACCAAAAAATCAAACTTTAATATTAATTCTCGGTTTGGACGGATGAAAAATATAAAAAATATATATATTAAATTTGAGTGCGATGAAATTTGATTTCATAGGCTGTTTATATAAGCTTTTAAAATAGAAAGGGATGTCTCGTGATTAATATAAGGGAAAATGATATAAAAAGAAATTAAAAATTATAATATTTCAATTTAAGCACCTAAGAGATAAAAAATCCCACGGAAAAAAGTAGTGTATTTTGCAAATGTAATCAAATGATTAAAATGTCATTGTATCGGATTTGTATTAAACTTCTTGTCATTAGTTATTTAATATTTGTTATTACCAATTCACAATTTATTAATAAATAGTTTGTCATTGTCAGCATATTTACTGTCACTTGTTATTTAACACTTGTCATTACTAATTCACAACTTGTTAATAAACTTTCTGATACAAGGATGTTTTTGTCATTTAACTAGATTTACAAAATACCATATCAGAAATCACTTTCTTCATTGGGATTTTAACTTCTTAGGTGCATAAATTGGAATATTATAATTTCAACTTTTTTTTAATGTGATTTTCCCTTAATATAAAATAAAATGGAGTTCAGTAACCCCCGCCCCCCAAAAAAAAACTTCTTTTAACACGACGATTTGACAACCCTAAATTGGATAGAATGAGCTGTTAAAACTGTTTTTTTGGGCCAAAAAACACAGTCAATTATTAATCACTGCAAAAAAAAAAAATCTACATCCCCATAGCAGAAGCCTAAAAAGAGAGAAACAGTCAAACAACCTAAACAATAACCAATCGTTTTTTGTTTTAAGCTGAATCATCAATCTATCTTATCTATTGTGGCATCAATTAGTCATCCATTTCAGCTTTCACGTAGAATCCTTGGTTTTTCTTTTTATACCCCAAACATCACTGGGCCGAGATTGCAAAGAAGCATCCCATCTCAATACCAGCATACCACAAAAGTATATGGACATTTTTTCAGAACACAAAGGGACATAGATATGAATTTGATTGTCCATCCATTGGATAATAGATTTGCTGTTTGGCAGACCTGATTGCATATTATCTGTTTGAAACCAAAGGGCCCTTGTATCCTTGGCCCAAAATAAAGTTCTTTTTTATCCATCCACTGTACTCGATTTTTTCCCTTAATTTTTGAAAAGAAACGCCACTTACACTCGTATTCTGCCTTATATTTAAAACTCAAGAAATATTACTTTATCAATCTCCTAGTGGTGTGGTGAATATTTATCTGAAAGACTTGGTGGATATTTTTTATCTAGGTTTTTGTTTTGTTGATAAATAAAGGGCTTTAGGGCGCTTCGCCCCGTTTTTTCACCAAAAACAATACATGCCAATAATGGAAGAAAATTTTATTTCCTATAATTGCTAAATAATTCTTGATTTTTCTTGCTACAAAGTAAAAAATGCTTCCTCATTCCTGCATGGAAACCCTTTTTTTCGGGGAAGCTTGACAACCTTTCAATAACATCACACCTGTCTAAAATTCAGAAGGGACAGCCCAACGTAGAGGCTGGTGTACTCCAAGCCACAGTCCAATGAGAAGTCGACAGCTCTCTTCAAGCATCATCGTAGTGCCGGGAGGGGCCCCAGGGATTTCGATGTCAAAAGACACTCCCAATCTGCCATCATTCAAATATTTTTTACGATCGTTGTTGGATTGTTCCCTTTCTTTTTTTACGCCATAAAAAACAAAATTTCCTATAATTTTCAAATAAGTAGGTTTGTCCATTTCTCACACAATCAAAGGGATTAGGGATAGACCCGTAAATGCAAAGAAGAAAGACTCAAGGAGATGGGTCCCGAACTTTTTGTGGCGTGAACCTACAAGGAAGAATAAAGGGAGAAATAGCTACGTAGACATTTGAGAATGATTCGGTTTCCCATATTGGTTCAGAGAGTATTTGCAGCCGTGAAGGTCCTTTTCAATATAGCAACCAACAGTTTCTTTCAAACCATCGCTGGAAAACAATCCCACTTTTTTTGTAATCTTAATTAAGCATATTTTCCTATGGATTGGCGTAGGGTTAGAAAAATGACCAGCTGTAGTGAGAAAATCATTATAATTCCCAGATGAAAAAAAAATCACCAAAAAATCTCAACAACTAGCAGCTAAGTTGTTACTTCTTTCAACACTAAAACTTGTCATTACATAATCCTTATTCATTGTAAAAAGTTTTTGTCTTTACATTTCCCCCTTAGAACTTTAGTGTTTTTCCATTTTATATTTGATATTGATGATAGGAAATCATAAAATAAAAGAAGCTTCTTTTGGCTAACCAAGTTAAAAATTCAAATTTCATTTATTTCTAAGCATTTTAGTCCTTCGAGTCCTATTTACAGGCATTTAATCTTGACTATAAAAATAACCATCATTCCCATATGATTTAGGACACTGCAACACACACCTTTTAAGATCTTCATAATTATTATATCTAAATATCTTATAAGTTTTCAAGTGTTTGAAATATTCAATTCCCCGGGACCAAACGGATTAGGAGGGCAGCATGTTATGTAGTGAAATGCACAAGTTACAGATCAGAAACAAAAGTTACCATACAATTTCCCTGCAGGGGATTACAGTTAATGGGGCTTTGAATTACAGATATGATGGTGTTGAGCTATCGAATTGAATTCTTACAGACCGCTCGGCTTGACGCCCCAACACCTCATTTACTGAGTCAGGATGTGAAAACATTATGCCAACACCGTAGCTAGCATGCCTGAGAAGTATCTGATGCTTTTTGGTCTCCATGGATATAAAGGTTAAGATCCTGTCAACTGCAGTATGCCGGTCGCATTCTTTATGGCTGCCAAGAATAAAAAACTTATCTAAGACATGTTGTTATGTGTAGACACATAGACAAAACAATACAAGAATCTATAAGGCATATGCAAACTGAAGTTATTGAAATCAACATATTAATAATCATCATTGTTCTATCAAACTCTGGAGCCAAGTGCAGGTGAAACTTAACAGACAAACTATAAGGCTTCACGACTAGAGGTAGATACAAAACAAAGACTAGTATCATTTCATTACTTTCGGCAGATTCGATTCATGTTTTGCAGAGATCCGTCATTCTCTTCATAAGTTTCTTAAATGTTAATAGATTTTCAATCCCACTACATATATATACAATAAGTTGCTGCAGTATTATGAGGATGACTTTTTAAACTTTCAATGAGGCCTTAAATGCAGAGGACCCGAGATTTTTTTCACTTCAAGGTAATCAGGATATATGATCTGACAAGACGTATTTAAATATACACTATAGTGGACATTGGAACCAAGCATCGAGCAAGGCGGATGAATGCTCGCTCACTGGACAACAAACTCAATTCTTTGGGTTGATGAAATCATGACGTGTTTCAAAGATCCTCTCTCCAAATGCTTTAACAACCATACAGCGTTCCAATTTGAATTCAATCATAATTAACGCAATTTACTAGTTGATGCTTTAGAGATGAAAGCCGTGCCACTTAAGGAGATACGATCAAGTATTTGTGAAGTGACATTGTTAGAGTAGGGTTTACATTTTCATGGACTTGATCAGCAGAGATGATAATACAAATATGCGCAAGACTTTGGACGCCGCCAGTGATCAGAAATATAACAGGGGCAGAATAGAGTTTCCTAATTAATCAGATAAAGTTTACTTCTCATCCACCCTGACCTGATTATTTGACCCGTGTTCGTGTATTCTTTGAGGCTTCATGTTCAGATCAATCATTTTAGCATCCATCTTGGCATACCCATCAGCATCATGTTCTGGGGTTGGCATCCTGTGATTTTGTTGTTTCTCTCCCATTTTTATTTTGAGCAATGAATTTTGGCCTCGTTTGGTCTCAACCGCGTCCAGAGACTGTGAAGCCGAGGTTTCTGCGTGACCAGGTTTATCTCCTGGAAACTGAGCAACAAGATATTAGACAATTTTGAAGGCAACTAAAGGCACCTAAAAAGACAAATCATGACAACTTCAAGAAAGCAAGGGGAGGCATACTTCAACCCGCTGCCTGAAAAGAAGGTATCTCCCGTGTGTTCTTTTACCTCCGACATGAACTATCATGTCACATTGCAAACACAGAGAAGTTCCATCTGTCTCGCAATAAAAGAAAGCTACACCCAGATACAAAAGAAAAACGTAAGGATAAGGCATATGAGATACGGGGAAAGCATGGAGAAATTGAAGATTTCCTACCAGGTTCATTCTCACAAATGTCACAGCGTGGCACATCACTTGGACTAGCAAGGCCAACCCGGATATGCCGGCTAGCTAGCTTATTGCACATGTGAACCTGTCACTCCAACAGTTAGAAAGTTGAACCATTGCTTCGAAAAATGTTAAGCAGGACTATCAAGATAAGAGAAGAACTTGGGCTTCAAATTTAGACAGGCTTAGGGAAAGATCGATCCAATCAAGTGTGCTCATACGGAGCAGCATACCCAAGCCCAATGGCTACCTGTTTTCTCTATTGATGGATTTCTCCAAGTTCTGGCTAATGAGTTCAATAAAACATTATTCCTTTGTGCGTAGAATACAGTATGATCAATGCTTTAAAAGAAATGTTAGGCAAGATTGTTGTGCTATATCCCCTAATCCACACGCGATCTCGAACAGGGGAAAACACAGGTAGAGTTAGCTTTCTGGTTTCGTTATATGATGCAGGTATTAAGGAAAAACTAAACAAAGAAGAAAAGAAAAGTACCTTTTCATCGCAGGCACGGCAGAGCGCGGCCTCGTCGGCGGCGCAGAATACGATGGCGGCAGCGCTCTCACAAGCGTCGCAAAGCGTTCGCATAGTTGAAGGCTCCTCCAACTTTCATTGCTTCAGCCAAAGAAATACAAAAGAAAGCGGAAGTCAGATGGCAGAAGAAACACCTGAATTTCCTCAATCAATAAAAAAATAGGGTAAAAAATAAAAAACGGGCACAGAACAAGACAGAGCTCACCTCCATGTGGGTACGAGTGTTTTTTGTTTTTCTCAGAGTTGAGTGTTGTATTGCCGGCTGTTGCTAGTGGAGGTGGAGGAGTTGCTTGGCCATGAGCCTGATAATGATGATGATGGGAAAGAAGACGGGCCTCGATTATTGATAATTGATAATCAATTAGTGATTAGATGGGGAGATCGGATAAAGAGAGGATTTTTGAGGAGGAAGGTGGGAGGGGGGTGATTCCAGAAGGTAATTGATGTGTGGGTTTTTAATATATATAGGAGCAAAAGACACAATAAATGAGTGTTTGTCAACTACGTTTGCCTAAAACCTTACTTCGTAGCCACGAATTCAAAGCCACTGTGGGGCTGACAAAACCATTTGCTTTATTCTCACCCACCAGTTCAGATATCGCAACTTGGGACCCGGCCCCATTCCCCTGTTTCATCCTCCTAACCCTAAATTGCCTTATCTTTTGTGGCCAGCCATCCACAGGGATCCTCTTCGCTCAACTAATTCTTCTCTTCTAGTTCTCTGCATTAATCCTGGACACACATGAACTGGGAGCCCCGTTTGGGATCAGCAAATGTGGGGACGAAGAACATCATGTGGTTGCTCCATGGTGGATAATAGGCCACATCCGGACACGGTTTTTCCTCCCTTGGTCGGGAAATCTGTACTTTTGATTCCTTAATCGTGACCTTTCCGTCTTTATTAAAAGGTGTTTGGATAAAATCAGACTATAATTTGAAAATAAATTCTTAGGAGAATAGATTTTGTGAAAAAGTGATTCTCATAAAATGAGAGTATTTGGATAGTTGTTATCAAAATCACTTTTCATATGTACAAATTACTAAAAAGGATATAAGTTAATATGATAATTACATAAAATATATATTTTATAATATATTTTAATTTGAAGGAATAAAATTGTTAATAATATATTTTTACCAACATAATTAATAATATATAAGATAGTGTAATTAATAAATAATTAATATGTGTATATATATTTATAAAATATAAGATTAAATATGTTTATAGAAAAATAGTTAAGGGGTGCTAAAGTCATATTATTGTTGGAATCTACTTGACAAGTACAATCATATTCTCCAATTTGACCCAAAAGCAGAATGGATTCACTTTCTAAAATCATGATTTTGGCCCAAAACCGTAGTTTATTGATTTTTTCTTCTGTTTAGCAAATTTTTGACCCAAATCATGATTTGGGTCCCAAAACTATGGTTTTAGATATTTTCCAAACAAGCCCCCATCAATCAATATTTCATTTACCGAGATATATATTTTAAATGCATCCGTATAAAATTTATATTCTTCCACTTCTTAATATAGAACTTTTTTTTTTGGTGAAATAATATAGAACTTTTAGACAGTTTATATTGATCTTATATGTAATATCTATTTTACATATTTATCAGTTTTTTCAAATTAATTTTATTGATATTCTCTCAATAATAATTAAGTATGAGAGGAATGAAAGAAAAATAGAAAAGATATTTATAATATTTTTAAAAAATATTATATTAACTAATTTAACTAATATTTTTAATTTATTTAAACTAATTAATTAGTTATTAGATTAAGTATTATAAGTTGCATGATTCATTGATGTTCAAGACATAGGCCCTACGGTCTACTTCTTTTTATTGATTTTTTTCCCCCCAACAACTTTAAGGGGTGATGTATTTTGAGCGAGCATGGATAAATTTTTATTCAACCACTTAACCACTTTTATGAGTGTAAATTAAATTTTGTAGCATTCTTTTACACGGTGATATAAACTTTTCTCAGTTAAAATATTAAAAGTTTTTGAATTATTATTTTTAACCTTTCTCTTTTAAGCGCAACCACACATCCCAATGGTTGAGGTGGATTCAACTTTCTTTGGATCCTATCCATTATTTCCCCTTGCTAAGGTCGTAGCAACGTTCGCATTTATTCTTTCCATGGTCGAGGGGTTCTAATTGCCGTTCAAAATGCGGACTGTGGAGGGGAAGAAAGAAATTCTGCAACGAAAAAACAACACAGAGAGTTAATTTTTCTAAAAAAATTTAACTATAACGTTTAGATCGATATAATCCTGAAATAAATATTTTATATTTCAAACTGAAAACAAATAAACAAAATTTTAAATCCTATTTTGATCCACAATATTTAAAATGAGTAAAATAAATAAGAATTTGGGATTGGAGCTCATTATTATGAGTATTTTCACATACTTACATTTGTACTATCTCCGGTCCTATTTATAAGAGCTAAATGACTACTTTGAGGAGATCAAGGAAAGAATTAAGTTAGTTATTTATAATAAATATGTATTATTTTTCCTAAAATATCATTACTAATCAAGTGTATGAGCTAGCATTATTATTATTAGAAGGATTATCTTAAGAAAAATACATAAATATGAAAAACAAAATAGATTGGGGTCTTATATTTAAGAGCAGAATAAAAATCAAATATGATTTTATATTAAGGACCGGAGGTAATACTCCTCCAGTCTTTAATATAGGACCTAATTGTTGAGTTGGTTTTTGTTCTAAATATAAAATTCATTTCTCATATTTATCAATTTTTCTAAATTACCGCTATGGATACTCCCTCAACCATAATCAATTAGAAGAGGAAGATGGGGTATTAAGAAAGATAATTATGGCATTTTAGGAAAAACATGTCACATTTTTTATAATTAACTAACTTACATAACTTCTTTAATCTAATCAAATTAGTTAAATGGGTTTTATATTAAGGATCGGAGGAGTATATCATAAATCACGAGCTGTCTTTTGAAGGTTCTAAGCACCATTTCACACAAAACACTTAGTCAACAAAGTGACAAAGCTGTTTCAGTGACAATTCGTTGGGTGATAACAGAGAAATTTGGAAGTCAGGTTTCATTAAAAAAAAAAAAAACCTGGGCACACTGCTAATATCATTATTGAGATTATAGAAATCCTTAACGATTGAGTCCCGTGTAGAGTCATGGACATGTAGTGGGTTTTGGTTTTCATCCAAATACCCTCATAATAAAATTGTAGTACTATCTCTGATTCTTAGTATAAAAACGAGTTGACTAATTTGAATAGATTAACAAAACTAATTAATTAGTTATTTATAATAAATAGATATTATTTTTCCTAAAATATTTTTGATAATTAAGTGTATTAGTCAAAACTACCATTATTACAATAATTACCTTAAAAATAGATAAATATTAGAGACAAAATGAATTAAAATTTTATATTCAGATCAAAATAAAAATCAAATAAATTATTATATTAAGAACAGGACGTGGCATATGACAACTATATGGAGGCTCTTCGCCTCATGAGCAGCGAGTTCTCCCAATAAATGTCACTGGCTGAGCAGTTGGATTGGAAAAAGTCACGACCTCCTCATAGGAGCTGAGTTGCGTGACTACGGGTGTATTTGGATGAAACCAAACTATAGTTTGGAGAATAGTTTTTGGAGAATAGATTCTGTGAAGAATAGATTTTGTAAAAAAATGATTTTGAGAAGTGAGAGTGTTTGAATAATAGTTATCAAAAGTACTTTTTATAGATACAAATTATTTAAAAAAAAGTTAATATGATAATTATATAAAAGATAAATTTTATGATATATTTTAATTTAAAGGAATAAAATTGTTAATAATATATTTTTTATCAACATAATTAATAATACATAAGATAATGTAATTAATAAATAATTAATATGTGTATATGTTTATAAGATATAAGGTTAAATATGTTTGTAAAAAAATAATTGAGAAATGTTAAAGTCATATTATTGTTGAGATCTACTCTGACAGGCACAATCATCTCTCCAATTTGAGCCAGAAAGAGAATGAATTCACTTATCCTGAAACCATACCATAGTTTTGGTCCAAACCATGGTTTCATATTATTGGTCGAAAATTGATGTTGTTTGGGTGACATCTCACCAAAACCATAGTTTTGTCTCCCAAACATGATTTTGAGGGTCACCCAAACAGGTCCCTACGTGTGTGATTGCGGATTTCTACATATGATAATATTGGAGCGGCGGTTGGGTGAAATTGTCTCCCAGCGTTATAGAGGCTATTTGACGAGAGAGACTCATTACACTGACTTTTTTTTTTTTTTTGTTGATTGATGGAATGATGATTGCCTGATTGCCTGTGCTCTTCTTATTGTGTGTCCACGCATTGCCTACGTTGGTGCCGCTCATTCCGCTCACTCGCCTGTGTTTGTTCTCCGCCTGCTGTCCATTTGTCTGAATCGGGCGGCACTCGATCCGCTTCTAGTAGTGCCCACCCGACGATCCACGGCCAAACATCTGTGCTTCAACCCGACTTCATTTTCTTCTCTGTCATCCCTCTGTCCATTCTTATACTCCGCGCTTCCAGGCACCATAAAAGAGGAGACGAAGGAAAAATCGGGGCGTGTCATGTAATTTCGTCTAGTGTCTAACCCATCTCTGTTTGTTTGGTTTCCTCCATTAATTAGCTTGCTTCATTGTCAGATGCATACCCACGTTCCAACACATATTGCGCCATCACTATCACGCCTTGTCTGTGAGATGTGGCACTTGCCTTTTCCTGCCTTTCCCGTTTTGAAAATTTTGGTTTGCCGTTTTCAACCCAAATATGACCACACGCATTTATTGCACAGCTGCTTTTCTGCTTTTGCCCTTTTCCTTGTTGGGCTTTTTTAGCCGGAGCCCTTTAACTCCAACAATGGAAGCGCCAGTCCATTCTATGGACTGGCCTTCTTTGCGGACATTAAATTAAAATAATATTTTGAAAAAAACACATCCCAAAAACATACCATTTAAATTTCGAAATCTTAAATCAGTCTTATTTTCTGTATGTAAACAGCAATTAAGCATGACTTAAAAGATAAATGGCAATAAATTTTTATGAAAATTTTTTATTTGAGATTTTGAAATCCAACCAGTATATTTTTTGAGATTTTCCCTAATATTTATTGTTATTCAAAAAACCATTTTTGATTATTTTCTCATTTTAAATCTATAAAAAATCATTCATGAGGTTTTTTATATTCCACCTTCCAAAATATACGCTGAACATATAATTTCCACCGTTTTTAACTTTTCCCGACAGTCTTTTAATTGTCAATATGTGATTTTAAATTAAGACACGCTGCCAATTTGTGAACAACGAACACCGCTCCCTGTGAAATGAATGTTCTGTATGCATTGATAGATATTGATATAGATACAGATACAGATATAGAGACATATTCCTATTATTTTAGGGT